TGAATTTTAAACTTTTATACTTTTGTGACTTCTAAACTTTTGTGCTTTTCTGGCTTTTAGACTTTTATAGCTTTTATACTTTTAAACTTTTGTGCTTTTACGACTTTTATAGCTTTTATACTTTTATAGCTTTTATGAGTTGCATAGCTTTTATATTTTTATGACTTTTATGACTTATAGCTTTTATACTTTTATTGCTTTCTGAATTTTAAACTTTCCTGCTTTTCTGACTTTTAAACTTTTATCCTTTTATAGCTTTTATACTTTTAAACTTTTGTGCTTTTACGACTTTTATAGCGTTTATAGTTGTATGACTTTCATGCCTTTTTCTACTTTTCTGACTTTTGTGCTTTTATGACTTCTATACTTTTATGACTTTTAAACTTTTGTGCTTTACTGACATTTATGCTTTTGCAGCTTTTATACTTGTATAGCTTTTCTGCCTGTTTCCCTTTCGTCCTTTTATGACTTTTTAGCTCTTAAACTTTTATTAGTGTATGCCTTTTATGCTTTTCTGGCTTTTATAGCTTGGATGGTTTTATGACTCATGACTTTTATACTTTTCTGACCTTTAAACTTTTGTGCTTTTCTGACTTTTAAACTTGTATAGTTTTTATACTTTTATGACTTTGATGACTTTTATAGCTTTTATACTTTTATAGCTTCTATGAGTTGCATGGCTTTTATATTTTTATGACTTTTATGCCGTTATAGCTTTTAGACCTTTCTGAATTTTAAACTTTTCTGCTTTTCTGACTTTTAAACTTTTATAGCTTTAACTCCTCAATCCAGCTCACCTTCAACAACAATTTTTGTGTTAAAATACGACATATGTTAAGAAATTCAATAATACATTTTTATATTTTCTCTTTTCGTATTTTGTAGTGTTTTTTTTCTGTTGTACCATCACGTAAAAAAGCTGCAACAGTATCATCTATTTTTGATAGGTCAGATTTTCAGATCTTTTTCAAAAGATTTATCTGAAAGATTTATGTTTTATCTCTAACAATTCTGCGGACTATTTTCAAGCCGGTTGATTCGGGAAAAAATATTCGATGGGATGGGATGTGAATAATGATATCACAAGCTTTCTTTACAAATTATAATCACGCGAATGTTAGTGCCGAAGGAAAGGTTTTAAAAAGAAAAAACATTTAATATGTGAATAGTTTCTATTGACCATTTCTTTGTAATTGGTGTTAAGAAATCACAAAGAAATATACTATCGAAGAGTTTATCGTTAATCACGCCACTTTATATATCATTCGAGAGAGAATTTCACGGGCTTCAAAATTGCGTATTAATAAGTCTTTGAAAAATATGTCCACATGGACGAATAGTTGAAATACGTGGCCGACATAATGATTTTCAACTATCTAAGTGCTTTAAACACTCCAGAAAACTTACCATAGTGGAGTGTTTAAAGCACTTAGATAGTTGAAAATCATTATGTCGGCCACGTATTTCAACTATTCGTCCATGTGGACATATTTTTCAAAGACTTATTAATACGCAGTTTTGAAGCCCGTGGAATTCTCTCTCGAATGATATATAAAGTGGCGTGATTGACGATAAATTCGCTTTAATATTTCTTAATGCAGGACGCTTTAAAACGACTTTTTCCGATCCGACTTAAGTGACTTATCTTCAAGCCACACTGGAATGTCTTCCGATAAGGCATAACATAAAAATGAAATATCAATTCAGGCGAGATTGGAACTCACTACCTTACGCTTGGAAGAAAAACTTTGCATAGGCGGGCAGTTTAACCACCCGTTGCATGTGTTGTGGACATATATTTATCTGACTGGTACCCGAACGTTAAATTATAGAGTCGATTGAGTGTCAGATAATCGTTACTTGTTGCTATACCTTTTTTATATAACGTCTGTGAGAGCTGAAATAATCGGGTTTCCATAATTTTATTTTCCTCTTGCTTATCTTTACGTCGTCTGCCAAACTCACTAACTAAGGGTTCATGCATTGACAAGTATCACTATTTCCAAAGAACTTAACTCACACATTTTCTTTATGAATGGGCAAAAATTTTAGTACGCATAATAAAGTAACAGCAGTAGTTTCCATTTTATTGAAATACATATAATTAAATTAAAACGAAATATTTAAAATGAACTTTTAAAGTTCGAAACGTTGAAATATTTCGTTTTAATTTAATTATATGTATTTCAATAAAATGGAAACTACTGCTGTTACTTTATTATGCGTACTAACTTAACTCACGCCTATAAGCATAAAATTCATCCATTGCGCCTTGAAATGGATAATTTCCTATATAATTATTGCTATTGCCAAACGAGTAGCCAAGAGTGATATAAATTCCCGCACCACCAGCATTTGAGTAGTATGAAACAGCGCCTGATGAGCCTTGGGATACGCCGTTTACGTACAATGTTATACCGTTTGTTGTAATAAACGTATATGCTAGATTCACGATTACAAAGGGTCCGCTGACGACTGGTTTCACAGAACCGCTCCGATGAATTTAGGCTGTACGTTAAGCCGAGCAAAGGCTTATCAATTATTGTAACCTGTTGAAGTGCCAGACCAATGGATTGCGAGTAATTCAGTTATTGTATGATCATGCTATAATTTAGAGTTCGGAGCATTAAAAATTCACACAGTATTTGAATGTTTGCGATTATACCTTCATTGATAGATGTAAGATTTATCCATACAGCAAACGTAAACGGTTTAGTATTTGGGGATCAAACAGAGGTAAACGCATACATATGAAAACAGGCTGAACTGCCTGCAAATTGGATAGATTGATTGATATGTCCTATTGTGGAAACAATATTTCGTTGGAAGAGGAAGAATACCCCGCCTTTCAGCTACCTTGCGGTATAGGGTGCTGTCCGGAGACAGTTTCGTAAGCCCGATATCTTCCCTACAACTAATACTGGCTGTAGCTCTGGACAGAAGACCAGCCTTGCTCAGAGTTCTTTCACTCAATCGCTTGAGCTCCTCGTACACACTGACTAACCACATACTAGCAACGAGGGCTGGTGTATGTATGGTATGCCGTAGAAATATCGAAAAGAAAAATATCGAAGGAAAAAATGTCGAACAGGAATAATGTAGAATGGATAAATGTAGAAGTGTAACAATGTCGAAAAGGAAAAATATCGAAAAAGTGATGTAACTAGTAAACGCAGACTCTGAGTCTCTGTAATTTATTGTTGTTTTTCTGATTATTCTGTTGGTCTGTATCTATAACCGGTAGTAGCAAGGATGAGTAACACCTGATAGCGATGAAAACAAAATGGTAGAAAAAGAACTACTACACAGCTAAAAGTCTCTAAATGTCTAAATCTATTACGATGGCCACAGCTGCTTCACCTCCAGCGAATGTAAGTCAGCCACCACCGCCAGTTATTTCATTTATTGGTACTTATAAAGAATAAACACCACACATTACGTATATACAGAACAGACACCACATATTATATGTAACAGAAAGGAACAAGAATTTATTGGAAGGAAAAGTATAGAACGATAAGCATAAGTACACTACGACAAATATGTTTAAAAAAAAGCAATAGGAATTAAAAGAAAAGTGAAACCGAAGAAGCATTAATTTTCTTTTGCTACCGGATACAGTTCATTAAATTGTTCAACAAGGCGCATGAATGGTCGATCAGTACAGTGATGAATAGGCTCGCCATTCATCGCTGTATATGGTGGTACAGGTTTTATATATTGTTGCTAAAAACAGAGTTACATGACACTCCAATCGGTAGACTCGCATAACAGACTTACAATTATTGGTAAGAGAGTTGCTGTATCTCGACGATCAACCGTAACAGCAAAACATTCATCCGTATCACGATCCGTGCCACCGAATACCCATTGATTACCAATTGCTCGACCACGATTATATTTCTGCATGGTCCAGGAACTTTCATCAATTTCGACGACATGCCCAATACCACCAATAACAGCCGGATAGCGCAAGAAATGTTCGGCGCAAACGTCACGCAGAAGTTTTTCCAGTCGACGATTGTTGAGTTACTTGCGAAACCACAGTGACGACTAAGAAACTTGTGCGAATCGACGCCTTGTGACCAAAAACGCATCAGATCCAGCATCTGGTTCAACTCCAATTTAGAACCCGAAAAAAATCTACCGTCGCAGATTGAACAAGTGAGTCTACAACTTCTTTCCTTACAAATCCAACGACATCCTAAAAAATGAAAAGGAAATAAAAGATTACATTGGGTAATGTGTACTACTACTTACCATCGATTGCTCGTCTACATGTTTGTTATGTCCATTATTGCAGATAGATTGAGACAAACTAAGTTTGTTATTATTGATAACTACTTAGAAGTCAAAACTATGATTACTTCTCACTCCTAATTAATTATATATATGCCACAATTCTGTGCAGGAAATGAAATTTAATCATTAGGACGCTGTCGTTCTATAGGGTGTCCGTAAAGTCCTTAGAGTTAGAAAATGTTCAATGTTTTCGTTATTCTTTACCCAAATGAGCTGATTTTTTTCTGAGTATAGTAAGCGGATAGAAGTGTCTATTCATCACAAAACAGACCATTTATGAACATAAAACAAAGACAAATTTTTTTAACGCTATAAGTAAACTTTACAACGAGGTTTTTTCTCATAGTTATATGCTGATGCTATAGTATAGTCTTTTATTTATTTAATCAGAAATGTAACTGATATGTAAGCCTAGTTTGAGACAAATTGTCCTCCATTATTGATACAGACATGAAGGCGCTGTTGAACAGAATGACATACTTTGGGACACATTTCTTCTGGTATCTGTTCACAAGCTTCTTCGATTCTCTGTGTAAGTTCTTGAATGAAAGTAAGTGGCTGTTTAAACACCGCGTCTTTCAAATATCCCCAGAGGAAAACGTCACATGGAGATAAATCTGGTGAACGAGCTGGCCAGTCATATGGACCACGTCTACCTATCCATCGATCTGGAAAGTGTTCATCAAGCCATTCTCGAACGATAATAGCATAATGTGGTCCTGCACCGTCATGCTGGAAGTAATAGTGATTCCGTCTTAACTGAGGCCATGCATAATTGATCAGCATTTCCTTGTACAATGGGCCAGTAACAGTATCGTTAAAAAAATACGGACCAACAAGTACATCAGAACTAATTTCGCACCAAACCGTCAATCCTCGTCGCGTATTAGGTATTTCATATTTTATGTGCGGATTTTTCCTCGCCCAGTATCTACAATTATGGCGATTAACCGTATTATTCATATTGAAATTCGCTTCGTCGCTCCAAAATATATGATCGATTAGATTAGGATCATTCTCCAGCTTTTCCAGCCATACTTCGCAAAACTCGCTGCGACGATCGAAATCATCTTCGTTAAGGTCGACTATTAAAGTTGGACGATAGGGTTTGAAGTGAAGTTGTTTCATAGCTACATGATAACTGGTTTTTCCTATCCGAGCTTGACCGGCACCTAGACGTATAGACACCTGTGGGTTAGTAGTAACCATTTCTTCAATTTCTTCTAATTTTTCTTCCGAGAGTACAGTTGGTCGACCGCTGCGTGGTAAATCTTCAACTGTTCCATTTTCATCAAACTTTTTATTTACCAGAGAAATTGTAGTTAAATGTGGTGGAGTTGTATCAAAATGATCTTCCCACCGTCTTTGTACGTCGCGTGCATTTTCGTACTTCGAAAAAAGCCGTACAATTGCTACTCGTTTGTCAATGGTGCGACTTGCACACATCTTGAAAAATTATAAATGGAATGAATAATGTTATGTGCTCTTCCATCACGTAGATCATTTTCTTATCTTATCTTCTTTTCTCGAGGTTTTATTCTTTTCTTTTCCTACTTAGATCCATTTACTTCGCTGATATGTATGCATGCACATGCACATATCTATGTATTAGTATACTCGTTAAATGCATGAAAAGAAAAAAGTGAGAAAATGGTCAGATTCAAAGAGTGGTTTACGTTTTGTACAAAATAAGACGTCATCGTAGTGAATTACTTATTTCAATAAAGAAAATTTGCTGGCTTTACGTTCATAAATGGTCTGTCTGCATTGAATAAACACTTCTATTTACTTTCCACATTCAGAAAAAAAAACAGCTCATTTGGGTAAAGAATAAAGAAAATATTGAACATTTTCTAACTCTAATGACTTTACGGACATCAGCGGCGTAACCAGGATTTTTAGTACAATGGGCAAACTTCTATTGTAGCGGAAAAAAACGATGGGCAAAATGGGCAAGGTTTTTGTCGATGGGTCAAAAGATTTTTGGTCCAAAAAGAACAAAAAACAATGAAATGAGATTCTTTTAATTTTTGAATTAGATTCTATTTCAAAAATAAACAAACAATTCTGTCTATAGGCACTCTTACAAATATCTTTCTAAGGGTTATACAAAAAGAAACCGCCTGGGTATATCTGCTAAGTAAAATTTCAATGGGCAAAAACTTACTAATAAAAATTACAATGGGCAAATTACAATGGATTACTTATGGGAACAGATCTGTTCGCCTCAAGTGGGGCAAATGGAAATGTTCGTTAGAGCTTTCAGCAAAACACTGAAAAGTTCGGTTGGGACATGGAGTTTTTGAAAATTTTTAGATAGACTTATAGAGAACTTCCTCCTCTACCTGCCTCTAAAAAGGGCGCAAAAAGATAATTAAATTAACAGATTTATAAGAACTAAAAGTCCAAAGAGCAAAAGGTCGTTTCCAGTTGCCTCAGTTTAGTCTAGTAACGGACAAAATAGTCACTGGAATAGAACTCCTCATGCCTTGATTAGTAACTAGGGGTGGCACTTTCTCGTTCTTTCCTAAAAGAAAGGAATGTAAAAATTAACTTTTCTTTCTTTTGGGAAAGGAAAGTTTTCTACTTTTCCGCTTTCCTTTCCCCAAAAAAAGAAAGAAAAGTATGATATAACTTTTTTTTGTATGTTTCTCGATGAAGAAAACACTTTATTGCAAAACCAAGCCCATATTCGAGATCAGCGTCGAAAACTGAATCAAGTGATGAGTTTTGCGGAAAACAAAACGTTTTTGGTAAGTTTTTGCAAAACGCATCACTTGATTCGATTTTCGACGCTGATCTCGAATATGGGCTTGGTTTTGCAATAAAGTGTTTTCTTCATCGAGAAAGATACAAAAGAACGTTATATCATACTTTTCTTTCTTTCTTTTTAGGAAAGAAAAGCGGGAAAGTAGAAAACTTTCCTTTCCCAAAAGAAAGAAAAGTTAATTTTTACATTCCTTTCTTTTAGAAAAGAACGAGAAAGTGGCACCCCTATTAGTAACTAGCGCTGAGAAAAACAAATTTCGTGTGATTTTTCATCGTTTTTCACTACAAAACAAGTTCGACTTTTCGATAAACTCGGCGATTTACTCTGCCTCACATCATATATTTTTTAGAATATGCTTTTTACTCATCGTGTCTGTTTAGTAATGTTGTACTGGAACCCTAGAAGTTAGAAGTCTGGAAAAGACAAGTCAGATGATGGTTCATGAATCTGTGTCATCTTGTACATTTTCGCTTATAATGATTTTCTCAAAGTATGACTAAGGAGAAGGAGAAAAATGAACAATATAAAATTTAATCCACATGGCGAAAAAGATACAAAGTTACAGTTCTTATTGTGACAAACCATATCAACGAATAACAGTTACTTTTAAGTCTAATGTTTTGTGCATAATCTCGTTATTTCTAATATAAATTTAGTTGTTTTACTTTTTTAATAGCTTTTTTTGTAACACAATATCGTACCCTACAAAAAAAGATTAATATGGCAGAGCCTGCTAACAAGCCTGCACATTCAGTTGCAGCAGGCAAAATTCTCACGAGCAGACCTGTGCAGGTCTGCAGGGAACATCGTGGCAGACAAAGGAAGACCCGCAGCAGACACCGTCACACAGCACAGGTCTGCTCGTGAGAATTTTGCCTGCTGCAACTGAATGGGCAGGCTTGTTAGCAGGCTCTGCCATATTAATCTTTTTTTATAGGGTATCGATGAGAAACATACAAATACAACCGTCTGTGTAAATCTCTTCATATCTTAAACAATTGCTCTTGGATTCATCCGCTGGATATTCTTTAACGCTCATTCGGAAACGAAATCCGAAATAGTTACTTTTTAATTTTACTCGTGTACAACCAGGTAATATCATCTTTTCTATTTCGATAGTATCTAAAGATCTCGACTGCGTAGATTATTCAGGAATATTTAATAACTGCACTTTGAAAGTATCGAGACCGATCGTTTCGTACCAAAGTTGATACGGTAACAAAATCTTTGGTACTGTTTTTTAAAGTACTTCCAGTTTCCTGTTATCTGTTACAACACACAAGTATGATGTTTGATTGATCGCTTCCTGGTGTGATCGAACTAAAAGACGAGCCATCAAAAGTGTCTATGTGTGTCCGACAGAAAATAAAAAAAGAAAATCACTTTTAAAACTGCAGAAGAGCTATGGATTAGCGAAAGCTGAACTAATAAACGTTTTGGGAAAAACTGGTTCTGCCTTGGAAGGAGCCACAGACAAGAAAAAGAGAACTATACAGCGCAGATCTAGAAACAAAGGCGCACTGTCATATTCGAATTGAGTAGTTTGATACAAAAACTACCGATCAGATTCAATTCTCTGTGACGTATAGAAAAAAACAATTTAAAAGTGGTCCCTTGTCAACAATACGAAATATTTCCAAAATACACAATATTGTGTTACATCACTGAATAGTCCAAGGTGTCTGCTATCCGAATCCATGAAAGAAAGACCTTCATCAAAGGTCCTTCTTCGTTTTTAAGAAAATTTCCTGAAAGTATCGGAAAAGTGGCTTTTTCGAAATTGCTTTAAGTTGACAGAAAATCGAAACCAAGACTCCTTTGATGATACAAGAGTGTAGAACAACATTTCTGATCCATGTGAGACATTCTGCCAGCTTGCAGCAACAAGAGTTATAACAATTGTACGAAAAGACCAAAAATAGATATCGTACACTAGCACTACCATCTCTCAAAAGTGCTTTTCCTTTTGACAGCCAACACCATTTATCAAACGTCTCGACCAGTTTAAAAGCTGGAGAGCTCGATTTGGTGATAAACTGAAGTTAACAGCCATGGAAATGGAGACATCTGCCAGCTCGGAGCAACAAGAGTTATAACAATTGTACGAACAGACCGAAAATAGATACGGTAGTGCTTTTCCTTTTGACAGCCAACACCATTTATCAAACGTCTCGACCAGTTTAAAAGCTGGAGAGCTCGATTTGGCGTTAAACTGAAGTTAACAGCCATGGAAATGGCATAACAGAGTCAGACGTGTGACTGAGACGTGTGACTGACACTTTCATTTGGTCAGTATTTAAGTTTTATGATTACTCATTTTGGACAATTTGGAGTTATTGGCTAGTATTTGAGCGCCTTCTCTTAAACGCTGATATATTGAGCCTTTAAAATGTTATCGTAAACATTCATCAACATGTCCAGTATTCTCTGAAAGCTTCGTCAAGATGGCTGGTAAAAGAGTTGCTTTCGCGGGGGACTCCTTAAATCGAAGATTCGAATAGAAGAAAGACACTTTAATCCGGTGTCTTATTTGAATAACTACATAGCGTACATAGCGAACTTAGGGCCATTTTTTGTCAGAGCATCACGCGCCGAGAAACGGTTCTAAAACTCGAGTCTTTAGCCACATACCATCATTTTTATAGCAAACGTAGAGTATGGCGAGCTGCGTCAAATGGCGCAAGAACGAAGTTTCTAGCTCTTACACTTTTTGAGAAAAATTCAAATTACTGTGTCAAAAATGTCACAGCGTCACTCTTGGACAAGCCGTAAGGTATTGGTCTTGATTACTGGTACCAGCTCACTTTGTAAACCTATCTAGCCTTTTTAGTTAATAGTCGTAGCTGGAATTGTTATCTCATCTTATTCATTTGACAACAAAAACTATATCGGGTCTTAATTTCTGTGAAATGTTTTTTAACTGTACGTAAAGTGACATTTTCAAATGTTGAGAGTTTAAATTCAAATATTAGAGAAGAATGCTCGAAACATAAATTTCTAAATATCCTGACTATTCTTCATGCTATAAACTTCGGTTTTTTTTACATTAGATTCAGAAGACAATCGATAAGATTGCAATATACTATTTAATCCAGTTATATGAGTAAAAAGCAAAGTTTCTAGAGGTAATTTTTTGAACAGTTCATATATTTTCTGTATTGTTCTGAGCGAGTTGGTCCTTTTCTCCCGTATAAAGGGAAAATAATTCGCTAATCTTGAGATTTTTTCCATCAAAAACGGATGACAAATAGTGAAATTATACAGAAAATTTTGCGGGCTAACTCTTTTTCTGTCAAGTAGGAGAAACTTTCATTGCATTCTCATCATACTAGAGCATTGGAAAAAATCGGACTTTGTGCGTATTTCGCCGTTTTATGCTCAGTACCGCTCATCTCGATGTACATTTGAAAAACTCGTTATTGGTGGCAACAATAGAAATTGACTTGTTCTTTCACGTGGAGAATGGAAGTTTCGTTTAGAGCGTTTGGTTAAAGAGAGAAATGTGCTGATTTTAAATTTTAAAACCATTTATGTTTGTAGAAGATACTATACTTCTACTTTCTCTTTCATCTTTCACTCAAAAGAACGGTAGCTGAAATTACGAAATGCATGGTTTTGAGAAAAATTATTAGCCAGATCAAAGAGTGTATTGGTATACAAAAGGCTGTTTTATGTT